GGGGGGGTGTAGGGGGCTGGGGGAGGAGGTGACGGAGATCGGGAGCGGATGGAGGAGGTGACAGAGGTTCAAGAAGACAGCTCTTCCGAACTCTCCCCGGGGTGCGGAAGTTGCTAAACAGATTCTGGTTTATCTGTTTCGTAATCCTGAGCGATCCAAAGTCTGGGTGAAACCTTAGTTTCTGCAGGATATTGTGCGAGTGGCGAGGCAGAGGGTTGGAGTTTGAGGATCAGAGTCCGAAGAAGATGAAGATGTTGAGGTTTAATCGAGGAGCTGACGCACTGAAAGATCCCACATCAACGGCACCCTCTTCGCCTGCCGCCACTGGTGCTGGCCCGGATTCCTGAACAGCGCCCCGCTCCCTCGGCCCTGACCCTCCGACGGCGCCCCGCTCCCTCGGCCCTGACCCTCCGACGGCGCCCCGCTCCCTCGGCCCTGACCCTCCGACGGTGCCCCGCTCCCTCGGCCCCGACCCTCTGCTTTCCCCTTCCCCCAGGCCTGCCCTCCATCCTTCCCTCCTGTGTTCGGGTGCCCCCGGGTTCCGCTGTCGGGGAGGCGGGGGGTGGCTGCTGGGCTGAGGAGGAACGTACTGGGTGGTTTTAATGACCCAGTGTTGTGTGTTCCTTTGCAAACATGTGGCTTTCTTAGCCAACTTTTCAAACCACTTCTAGAAATAGGACGTCTCTTGCTTCCCCTCTGTCCCTGACCGGCCTGTGTCACACCAGGGATGGTGTTGCTCTCCTGCCTGTAATTTTCTCATCATTAGCGGGGAGGCCGAGTGCTATTATCCCTGCACTGTTAACCCGGAAGCCCACGTAACGTCCTGGGGACCCGGGTTCGGATCCCGCCAGGGCAGACGGTGGAATTTGAATTCAATGAAAATATCTGGAATGAAGAGTCTAATGATGACCGGGAATCCAGTGCCGATTGTTGGGAAAAACCCCATCTGGTTCACTAATGTCCTTTAGGGAAGGAAACTGCCATCCTTACCTGGTCTGGTCTACATGTGACTCCAGCAATGTGGTTGATTCTGAACTGCCCCTCTGGGCAATTAGAGATGGGCAATAAATGCTGCCCTGGCCAGCGACACCTTAATCCCATCCATCTATAAAGAGAAACAAGGTTTGAGTGTCAGGTCTAGTCTAGCGCCGCGCTGCGATCCCGGCCGCGCCCCGTCACAGGCCCATGCTCCGAATTCGGGCGCAGCCCTCCTCCCCCTGCCCCACGGGCATGCCCAGGTACGTTCACTCACTCACTCGTGCGCACACACTCCGAACCACTCACGTGCGCACAGTCACTCGCGCACACTTGCAGAAGCTCAGGCGCTCACTCAAGTGTACACACGCACGCACACACGCGCACGCACACACACGGCCACATCCAAACTCACTCACAGACACACTAGCACAGACGTGCTGGCACACTCACTCACAGACAGACACAGGCTTACACGCACGCACACACACACACACACACACACACACAGTAATATACACACACGCCACGGGCGCGTACACACACGCCACGGGCGCGTACACACACACACACAGGTGCTTACACACACACACACACACACACACGTACACACACATACACGCACACACACGCATGCACACTGATGATACACACAGTAAAATTTGGGCTTTTTGTACAGGAACAGGAGGGTCCCATTCAGCCCCTTCCTCG